GCCATTTTTTGGTTGCAGCCATCATTGTTGTTTGGCGGGCCCGGGCTGGGGATTCGAACCCGCCACCTTAGGTGTATGTGGCAGGCGCCTTAGCCGCTTGAGCCACAGGCGCCGAGCCCATTTCAGCATTATTTATAGTCGTTAGAGATTATGACCAACCCATAATCCAGCAGTAGAGGAGTAATTTATTAATTTGTTATAAATTATAATAAATGTAATTTATGTAAGTTATTATGTCAATTCAATCAAATTACACAGCTACTAAAAAGGATATAGATTGTAACAAGGTAGGAAAATGTTCATAATATAGTGAAAATATATAAAATATTTAGGTTTGTATTTAAGATTATATTAATTATAATTTTAATATTTTTAAAATTAGAAAAATATTAAAATACTATTAATGAATATTTTTAAATGGTTCATTGTGTAAATGTGGTAGCATAAAGGTATTTTTTTTAATGTGTTGTTTCCCTTGTGTCCCTTAGTTGCTATCAGTGGACAGTTTGGTGGCATAACTTTAACTCACAGCCAGGAGGAGCTCTAGGGCAGGAAAAATCTATTGTGCACTAGCCAGCTTCCTGATCATGGTCCAGATGAGAATTTTGTCTTTTCTCTGTTGCAGATAAGTTATCCTAAAAAATTTAGGGAGCACTAGGTCTCTGGATATGGGTTTCACTCTCCATTCTGGGCTTCTCTTTGCATTCTTGTTGATGAACCAAAAAGAACAAGACCCAGAAATGACCATTAGTGAGGTGTTTTCTAAATACTATCCAAGTATGAGCTCAACTACGTTATCTTTCTGGAGTCATTCCCTTCAATTTTGAAAGTGTGTGGTAGATTTTGCCAAAATAAGTTAGAACGTGATTGCATCCCTTCTCAGGAAAATGTGTGCATGCAGGTCCAAACTGTACACATTGCAAAACTCATATCTGTTCAACAGCAAAGAGAGGTGGGAACAGAAAGTGAATACACGAAGGATTTTTCCTTTTCCTTTCCCTTTCCTTTCCTGTCCATCTCACTCTGTTTCCCCAGGCTAGAATGCTGTAGCATCAACCTAGCTCACAGCAACCTCAAACTCCTGGGTTCAAGGTATCCTCCTGCCTCAGCCTTCCAAATATGTGGGACTCCAGGTGCCCCCCACAACACCCAGCTAGTTTTTCTATTTTTAGTAGAGATTGTCCCACTCTTGTTCAGACTGTTCTCTAACTCCTGAGTTCAAGCAGTCCACCCACCTTGGCCTCCCAGATGCTAGGATTTTAGGTGTGAGCCACTGCACCCAGACCACATGAAGGGTTTGACAGGACAGATTGCCCACTTGGAAATCTGTTTTGGAAAATGTTTGCACTTATTTATAGTTGCCTTTAAAATGGAGACAGTGTCCTGATGAATGTCAGTTGCAGTTGTCAAAGATTTCTTCATGGGGTTATGCTTAGAAGACAGGACCATGGCTCGGCGCCTGTAGCTCAACCGGCTAAGGCGCCAGCCACGTACACCTAAGGTGGCGGGTTCAAATCCCCAGCCCGGACCCGCCAAAACAACAATGACGGGTGCAACCAAAAAATAGCCGGGCGTTGTGGCGGGCGCCTGTGGTCCCAGCTACTTGGGAGGCAGAGGCAGAAGACTCGCTTGAGCCCAGGAGTTGGAGGTTGCTGTGAGCTGTAATGCCACGGCACTCTACCCAGGGGGACAGCTTGAGGCTCTGTCTCAAAAAAAAAAAAAAGAAGACAAGACCATAAGAGGAGAACCAACCTAATCCTATTTTGTGCACTTTGGGCACCTTTTTCCCTTCTCCCTAAAGAACCATGTACTTAATTGGCAACTTGGATTTAGAGTGACTTGGATTTTGTTTTCCATTTTTGTTTCTAGGGCTCTCAGAAGCGAGCTATCGCTACACCAGAAACTCCCTTAACAAAAAGGAGTGTGTCTACTCGTAGCCCTCACCAACTCCTCTCACCATCAAGTTTCTCTCCAAGGTATGGATTGTATTTAATTCAAGTGCCAAAAAGCAAGCCTCCCCTCTTTCTCTGGCTGTCTGATGGAGGCTAACTATAGAGTAAGTTATTAACGAGGGGTGGGCAGGTGCATCTGCAGAGAATTGCTGGGAAGCCTATTGCTCTCTGCCTTCCCTGCTTTCTCTTCCTTTGTGGAAAATTACTGTTTCTTATAGTAATTAAGGAAACTCACTTTCCACCTACTTTTCTAGGGCTCATTTCCTAGATCAGAAACTGATATCTTCTATTGAAAAACAACCTGTCTATTCAGAAGTCCAATCTTAACAAGTCTTGCCAGTAGAAGCAAATAGGTTTTCACCTGATTCTGTTTGTTTGTGTTTTGTTGGGTTTCTTTCTTTTGTAAATCTAAGGTATTTATTTTTGAAAAAAGAAAAGCACGTATCTTTGTTCATAATGTTGCATAACCTGTTTATTGTTCCTCAGTCAGGTTACAACTAGTTTCTGAGAGTTTTCTTGTCACTGTGAATCTACACTGACTTAATTGGTATTTTATCCCTGCTGCCACCATTGCACATAAATCCACAAAGATCATACGTGATTTTTTTGAAATCCGCAAATGACATGTCTTACACTAGAGAATTCCGTAGGTAAGATCTCTGCTGAGTAGAAGAAGGGTTTTTAGAAGCTGCCTCATCAAGAGGAGGCTCAGGAGTAATAATGCTAACCATTTAGGGAAATACCGACTACCAGAAATTTTTGCCTCCACTTTGTATCACTTCTTCTAGACTAAAAAGAGCTTAAGATTTTTCAGGTCTGTCCCTTAAGAAAGATGGCGACCAGAAGCTCTATAGTCATTCAACATGAGTGGTCTTAAACTTTGAAACACAATTTGACTTTAATGTAGTCTCCTACTGGTTTGGGCATCTTTGCAACCTCACGTTTAGAGAGAGTGCTCACAGATGTGCCAGTACCTTTACAGGAGTTACATCTCTAAACATGAATCCTTTGAAACCTGCAGATCTGTTTATAACTAGCCTTGTGTGGGCCTCTCACTGCTTTAAAGGACCTGTGCAATGAATAGCCCACAGAGCTTCACAGGGAGGAGCTTAAGAGAAGTCTGCAAACTGCTGCCTAGTCATTTTTTAATGCACACTAATAAAGCTGACAACAGAAAACTGGTTTTATATTTGTTAAAGTAACTTCTAAATTATTCAGGTAGAGGCAGCACTAGAGATAGAGATAATTAATTGAGCTCATTTTCTGTAGCCTCTCTGTGGAAATAAGGAATGATAACACCAATTATCATAGTGTCCCACATAAAACTGGTTCCTGCTGTTTCAGTGCATTAAACAAAGCCTGCTTTTTTGTTTTTGTTTTTTGAGACAGTCTCATTTTGTCACCCTCAGTAGAATGCTATAGCATCACAGCTCACAACAACCTCAAACTCTTGGGCTGAAGTGATTCTCTTGCCTCATCCTCCCAAGTAGTTGGGACTACAGGCAACCACCATAACACCCAGCTTTTTGTTATTGTTGTTGTTGTCAATGTTGTTTTTTAGCTGGCCCAGGCCAGGTTTGAGCCTGGCAGCCTCAATGCATGTGGATGGCATAGTAACCACTGTGCTATGGTCTCCAAGCAAACAAAGCCTGTTTGTTTTTTTCTTTGTGACAGAGTCTCACTTTATCGCCCTGGGTAGAGTGCTATGGCATCGCAGCTCACAGCAACCTCCAATTCCTGAGCTTAGGAAATTCTCCTGCCTCAGCCTCCCGAACAACTGGGACTATAGGCGCCTGCCACAACACCTGGCTATTTTGTTGTTGTTGTTGCGGTTTGGCTAGGGCTAGGTTTGAACCCGCCACCCTCAGCATATGGGGCCAGCACCCTACCCGCTAAGCACTAGGCACTGCCCAAAGCCTATTTTAAATAGACCTCTCTGTACATAACCAAAGTGTTAGAAGACCTCACTATCATCAAAGCAGATCAACAGGCTTGGCACTGGTTAGGGCACTGGCCACATGCACCAGGGCTTGTGGGTTCAAACCTGGCCAGGGCCTGCTAAACAACAATGACAACAATAACAAAAAAAATAACTGGGCATTATGGTAGGTGCCTATAGTCATACCTACTTGGGAGGCTGAGGCAAAAGAATTGTTTAAGCCCAAGAGCTCGAGGTCGCAGTGAGCTATGATGCTACAGCACTCAACCAAGGGCAACAAAGTGAGACTGTCTCAAAAAAAATTTTTTTAAAGCAGTAATTTACCAGTCAAGGAGTGGAAATATATTTGTCAGTTGAGCTTGGAAAATGTGAATATTTGCATACCAGCTGACTGTTAATTCATTGCATCTCCATCTCCACAAACACTGGGCAAAGTTGATTAATTTGGTTTAACTACATTTTATTGTTTCTACCTTGAACTGTATCCATGAGTTTTTATATGTGCTCAGCAACTCTTGGCTTATCCAATAGAGCCAGGCTCAGATGCTGTTCTAATAATGCTAAAAATTCATAAGAAGAAAATAGTATTCAAAACTTGCCTTTTAATGAGTTTGGATTTTGTTTTGCTTTGTTTAGTTTTAATGCCAGGAGAATGACAACCTTTTTAAATAGGTTTCTGTCTCTAAACTTCTCTAAACATGTTTGGTATTCCTCAGCCTGGTGTTCCTTAGCCCCTCATTCCTGAAATTCTTTAAAGGTTCGGGTATGTCCAACCCCATTAAGCTGATTAGATTTATAAAATGTGAGGCCAACTTGCCTTTTCTCCAATCCCCATTTCCAAAAGGAACTTCATTTTACTCCTCTCTCCCTTTAGATATGAACACAGTAATATTAGTCTGTTTTGCTTCCAATTAGTGCTACTCCCTCTCAGAAATACAACTCAAGAAATAACCGAGGAGAAGTGGTTACCTCCTTTGGCTCAGCACAGGGAGTGTCCTGGTCTGGGAGAGGAGGAACTGGAAACATCAGCCTGAAAGTCTTGGGGTGTCAAGAGCCACTAACTGGGAGTTACAAAACCATGTTTCAGAAGCTTGCAGACATTCGAGAAGGTAATTGTTTTTCCCTTTGAAATACTGGTAGATATAAAAACACCTGGGAGGGCTTACAATAAGTAATAAAGCTTCAGCTAGGCTGGTAGAACATATTCCAAGATTGCCTTTTGACTATGTAAGCTCATAGATGTTCTCATGGATGCCCTTATACTAGAGGGACATTAATGATACTATCAGTAATTCTCCCAAGTCACATTACTTTGGCAAAGAAAAAGCGGATAACCATGCCCAGTAATGAAGTGAACTATTTAAAGGAACTTAACTGAAAGACATTTATGGCTTCTTCCTTGTATGCCATGCTTAGGTTGGCCTTGACTTCCCTGAAACCTCAATGAGGACCTAAATAAAGGGCAGACATAGGGGTGAGGGTTCATGCTGACTCCTATGGGCAAAGGGAAGGCCAAATTCATCAACCAAATATTGGAAAATTGGCTAAGGTTTTGTTTTGTTTTAAGAGCCAGAGTCTCGTTTTATCACCCTCAATAGAGTGCTGTGGTGTCACAGCTCAAAGCAACCTCCAACTCCTGGGCTTAGGCGATTCTCTTGCCCCAGCATCCTGAGTAGCTGGGACTACAGGCACCCACCACGATGCCTGGCTATTTTTTTGTTGCAGTTTGGCCAGGGCTGGGTTCGAACCTGCCATCCTCCCTATATGGGGCCAGCACCCTACCTACTTGCCACAGGCCTCACCCATGGCTAAGGCTTTAGATGGTTTAAATTGGCCAGTTGTCCCACATACCCTTCCTACTTTTATAAAATGACTATAGTATTTTTAAATGTGCTGTATTTTTTCTTCTAACAAGTGAAATGTGTTAAATACAAATCTTTTTGTCTCTGGGATTGCAGTTCTGACCTGTAAGATAGAAGAACTTGGCAGTGAACTCAAGGAACATTATGAGATCGAGGCTTTCACTCCTCTTTCAGAACTAGCACAAGTAAGAGTTGTTCTAATAGTTACTAATTAATACTATTTTTTTTAGGCCCAACACGGTGGCTCACAACTGAGGTCCTAGCACTCTGGGAGGTTAAGGCGGGTGGATTTCCTGAGCTCTCAAGTTCAAGACCAGCCTAAACCAGAATGAGACCTCATCTTTAAAAATAGCTGGGTGTGTGGGTGACACCTGTGGCTCAGAGGAGTAGGGCACCGGCCCCATATGCCAGAGGTGGTGGGTTCAAACCCAGCCCTGGCCAAAAACTGCAACAAACAAACAAACAACCAAAAAAATAGCTGGGTGTGGGCGGCGCCTGTGGCTCAATGAGTAGGGCGCCGGCCCCATATACTGAGGGTGGCCAGTTCAAACTGCAACAAAAAATAGCTGGGCATTGTGGCGGGCACTTGTAGTCCCGGCTACTAGGGAGGCTGAGGTAAGAGAATCACCTAAGCCCAAGAGCTGAAGGTTGCTATGAGCTGTGATGCCATAGCATTCTACTGATGGCAATGAAATAAGACTGTCTCTTAAAAAAAATTTTAAAAAGCTGGGTGTTGTGGCAGGCACCTGTAGTCTCAGCTACTTGAGAGGCTGAAGCAAAAGAATCACTTAAGCCCAAGAGTTTGAGGTTGCTGTGAGCTGTGATGCCATGACACTCTACCAAGGGCGACAAAGTAAGACTCTATCTCAAAATAAATAAACCTTTTTTTGTCCTTTTTCTTTTTTTGAAACAGAATCTCACTGTTGCCCTGGGTAGAGTGCTGTGGCATCATAAGTCACAGCAACCTCAAACTCCTGGGTTCCAGTGATCCTCTTGCCTCAACCTCCCCAGTAGCTATGACTACAGATGTCTGCTACAACACCCAGCTAATGTTCCAAGTTTTTTTTTTTAGTAGAGACGAGGTCTTCCTTTTGCTTAGGCTGGTCTTGAACATCTGAATTCAAGCAATCTACCCATCTCTGCCTCCCAGAGTGTAGGATTGAACCATTTTTAAATCAATGATGAAGAGGCAGCTTTCTCCCTTCCTTTTTCATTTCTTGTCTGTGTTCTGGCTTGACCATCTATCGTGGTTGAATATGGTAAAATGGGTTCTTCTGAAGAAAGACTTAAAGATGTTCTTTGGTTTAGTGAGCAAAGAATTATTTTCTTCCTACCTGGATTAAGGTTTTTTTTTTGAGCCAGTCTCACTCTGTTCCCTGTGTAGAGTGTGAGTGCCGTGGCATCACTGTAGCTCACAGCAGCTTCAAACTCTTAGCTCAGGTCCTCTTTCCTGTTTCCCAAGTAGCTAAGATTACAGCCATTTGCCACAACACCTGGCTAGTTTTTAGTAAAGACAGGATCTTGTTCTTGCTCAGGCTGGTCTTGAACTCCTGAGCTCAAGCAATCTACCTGCCTCAGCCTCCCACAGTGTTAGGATTACAGGAGTGAGCCATGTTGCCCAGCTCTTGGATTAGGGTCTTGCACGTAAGCAAAAATTAAAGGCATTGTTCCCCCTGGAGATTTCCCACTAATAGAAGCATTCAAGTATCCATACATGAGGACAAAAGTGAGGGTAGGGTTTCCAGAGTCTCATTCTTTAGACAATGACTTCCAGTCTTCCCTGGTTTGGTATCTGTTGTTACAGACCAACTGCTATATATCTTTATATCATGGTTTAATCTGGCATACATACCATTGTATTTTCTCAAGAACATTTACTAATCTGAGAGAAGATATGTTCTAGAAGATTCTTCAATATACCCCTTTGTCATATGTGTGCATCCAGAGAAGAATGGTTGGGGAAGATATGCAAAACCATGTTATAGAAGAATGTTTTGGAGGACTTGGGAGGAGATAGCAGGAGCGAAGTAGCAGAGGCAGAGATGCACAGTCATACGGGAAAAGGTTAGACTTCCTCTCTCTGCTCCCAAGAGGAGAAATAGCACAGAGGAAGCCCTAGGGAGAGATTTTAGCTCAAGTTAATAAAGAACTTCCTGTTGAGAGATAGTATGGTTGTATGGTTAAGCATATGGTTCTGGAGCCGAGTTTCTAGACTTTAAATCCACACTTCACTCGCTGTTTGACTTTGACTTAATTATCTAATTTCTCTGTTCATTGTTTTCCTTATCTATAAAATGGGTACAGTAATATCCACCGCCATGGTTGTTATGAAGATTAAATGAGTTAATACAGGAAAACTTTTAGAACAGTGCCTGATATTTAGTAAGCTCAATAAATTTTAGCTATTATTAGGTTACAGCTATCCAAAGATGTAGTGGGTTAGAGTTGCCCTGGCAGGGGTAAGTTCCCCTACATTAGAGATGGTCATACTTAGGCAGCCACCAAGAAGGGCTCAAGTGCTGGGTGGGTAGGTGGGTCAGATGCCCTTTAGGAGTTCTTCTACCCCAAAGTCAATGATGATGGTGTGGTCACTGCAGGGTCAGAGTGATGCCCTGCCAGTGTATTTGTTGTTTGGGATTTGTTTGCTGTTTATCCTGTTGACTTCAGATTTTGAGCTCCTGCCTCAAGGACTGTGGTTCCTACATTGCAACCTTCCTTTGGTAGGAGCCTGTAGCTCTGCTGGGCCAGATCGGCTGTGATAGCAACGGAAAGCTGAACAATAAGTCAATGATTCTTGAAGGAGACCGGGAACATTCCTCAGGTGTTCAAATTCCAGTGGATTTATCAGAACTCAAAGAATATTCTCTGTTTCCTGGACAGGTGAGAATGAAGGCATCTCCCCTGGGATATGGATATGCTCTTTACATCTGTAGTGTGTGTGTACTGTTCCTGAGTTCCTATGTCCGATGCTGTGAGGTTTGGTTGGAGCACAAACCCAGGAGCAGACACCATTTGGGGGGGTTCAGATTTTCTTCTGTGTGCTTTGACCTTGGCTCTGAGATCCGACTACCCAGGCTCATATCCCAACTCCACCCAACAAAGTATGTGGCTGTGTGTAAGGTAATTAACCTTCTAAACCACAGTGTCTTCATCCATAAAAAGGTAATAATAATTCTTACCTCATAGGATTGTTGTGAAAATTAGATCATTCTTGTAGAATACATTATTATTCCTGAATTACCTTAATTTGGCTTCTAGAAAAATGCCCTAAGTTTACAATTACAAAATGAGAGTAGCTGGATAGTACTTTTAACTACCTCGAAATAATTTATTCTAGGCCTCTCATTTATCTCCCCTGCTTAGCGATCTTGTTTTGTTTCTTGTCTTTCAGGTTGTAATTATGGAAGGAATCAACACCACTGGTAGAAAATTGATTGCCACTAAACTCTATGAGGTACACAGTGGCCTGTACCCGCCCTCCCTCCTAGTTCGCTCAGGCACAGTATTTCTAGAAACTGGTCCTTTTTAAGAGCCTATTTATTTCTTAGTTAATTCTCTATGGGGAATCTGGCTCTGGCTCTAGCTTTAGCAACTGTTACTGTAAGTATTTTAGGCTTAGCAATCCATATGGTCCCTGTTGTAGTGACTCAGCTCTGCCATTGTGGCACAGAAGCAGTCATAGGCAACTTGTAAATGAATACGTGTGACTGTGTTCCAATAAAACTTTACTTATAAATAAATACTCTGCAGCCAGATTTAGGCCACAGGCCTTAGTTTACTTATCCCTGCTCTAGGCAACAATTCTCTAGAGATTTTCCTAGACAGGAAAAATAGCAAGACACCCTTTTCTCCATCCTTGCCTAGAGGCATACTGATATTCTAGGGCCCTGTTCTGTTCCTACTTGTTGCTGGGTGTTTTGTGAGAGTTTAGCAGTGACCTCCCATTACCTAGATTTCTTTGCCACTCTGAGCAGTCTAGGAACATAGCAGGTCCCATTAGTTCTGTGGGCTTTTAGCTACAAGGAGAGGGACACAAGTGCAGCTTTCTCCCTTTTTCACTCCTCCCCACTATCCCCCCACTGCACACCTGCTCACACACCCAACTCAGTGCCCTCTCTTTTCCTCTCCAAAGCAAAGCCTGGTGCAAAACCTTAGTCAAGCTTTTCTCTTGTTTTTAAGGGTGTGCCACTTCCATTTTATCAGCCCACAGAAGAAGATGGAGGTAAGTTTTGGTTCAAATGCAGTTTTGCCAATAACAAGGGTGATGGATCAAGATCCAGGAGTGCAGGGCCTCAGACCTGGAGAAAGCTGCAGAAGCTGTTTAAGAGCAATGTGACCAAGCAGCAGTGGGGACACAGCTGATTGTGGGGTAAGGGAACCAAAGGCCCTTTGTTGCAAGACCACCTGTCTAACCCCAGTGAGCATTGGTAGTGTGTAGCCTGGGTTCTAACTATATCAGTCTTTCTTTTTTTTTGGAGACAAAGCCTCAAGCTGTCCCCCTGGGTAGAGTGCTATGGCATCACAGCTCACAGCAACCTCCAACTCCTGGGCTCAAGCGAGTCTCCTGCCTCAGCCT